CCCCCCCCCCCCACTACAACCACCATAGTCATTGTCACTCACCACAATCATCATCATCTCCTACCTCCACCAGTGCCACCCACCACCTTTTACTCCCATTACAAATTAATTCTTAAATTTCTTTATCTTTTCTCTATATTGTGATTTAATTTTGGATATAAATATAAATATATTTATTACTTACCACTTTTTATTACTTTGTATCTTCGGGCACAGACAATAACTAGTATATCTATATAATAAAGTAACTTACAATTTAAATCTCAAAAGATAAACAAAATGATTTTTGTTATTCACAGTTGAGATCATTTTAAATTTTATTTTAAAGTTAATCTAACAGCTAATATTAAAATTCTAAATTTAATAGGAAAAAATAAACCTCTAAGGGTGTGTTTGGAGTAACTTTTTATAAGTGTTTCTAAGAATTATTTCTCATAAGTACTTTTAAAAAAAAAAATATTATTTTGAACCGCTTCACCACTAACTTTTACCACTATTACCACCACCACTATCACCCTCACCACCACCACCATTGTCGCTGCCACCACTATCGCTACCACCGCCATCGTCACCTCTACCTCCATCGCTGCCACCACTGTCGCCACCATCGTCGTCGCTGCCACCCCCACCGCTGCCACCACCCCCCACGTCCACCATCACCCCCACGACCGCCCTTGCCGTCACCACCACTGCCACTGACACCACCACCGTCACCTTCACCTCCACCTCCATCACCACCACCGCCACCACCATCACCAATACCATCCCCCATCATTATCGCCGCTGCCGCCACTACCACCACCACCACTACTGCCCACTATCTATCACTCTCACTACAAACTGATGTTTAAATTTTTTTTATCTCTTCTTTATGTTTGCGATTTAATTTTGGATATGAATACAAATATATTTATTGTTTACCATTTTTTATTACTCTATGCCTTCAGGCACAGACAATAACTAGTATATATATACAAAGGCTAAGCTTGGTTTTGAATGAAAACTTTAAGCTCGAGGTTAGTTTTTTTAACGCAAATGAACGAAAAAGTTTATAAAATGATGTGACATAATTATAGTTATTAAATAATTAATTAAAGTTAATATAGACTTGCTAATTTAACAATTCACATTGATTTAATAAACAAAATTCGGCAACCTTTTTGGTAAGTGTAGTATTGTTGATTGATTTAATCAATTGAAGTGTGCCAAGCTAAGTTTGATGTGACAAAAAAACTAGCAATTTGAGATTGAATAAGATGTTTAAAGCTTATCATACTCCCATATATGTCACGTAAACAAGCAAACGTAGCCAAATAATTTGATACTGAGCTCAGTTCTATTTATTTACACTTGGTGCATCTACACATATAAATTAATATTAGTTTAGAGATCTGCAGTTGATAGTATTATTTCAATGCAGTGGATCATGCACGACTGGAGTGATGAAGATTGTATCAAGATACTGAAAAATTGTCGAGAAGCAATACCAGAAAAAACTGGAAAGATTATAATTGTGGAGGTAGTTTTGCAGCCGGGCGGTGATGGTCCATTTGACAAGGTAGGCCTGATGCTTGATCTGGCGATGCTCACCCACTTTTCAGGGGGGAAAGAGAGGACTGAGGTTGAATGGAAAAAGATACTAGAGGAAGGAGGCTTTTCAAGTTACAAGATCATCAAAATCCCAGCACTTCAGTCCATCATTGAGGCCTATCCACTGTGACTTGGTGGCTGTTTAAACGTTTTTCTGTATGTTTTGACTTGTGAGCTACTATTTACTATAGGTTATAAGGTCACCTGAATGTAATATGAATTAATAAACCTAAGTTTTCAATGGCTCAAAGAGCTAGGCCCTTTTGGAAGTAAATGTTGATTTTGATTTATGGATGGTGAGTATTCTGTATTTATGATTTGCATTAGGGGTGTTCAAATATTCGTCTACCCAAACTATTCCGACCCTATTTGACCCGATTATTTGAATTCCGTAAATTTTTGGCCGGCTTATGGAACAATTGTAGTATTTCACAAATGATTGGGTAGGTATGGNGATCATTCTTGACTAACTTTCTAGTAGAATGAGTTTGAATAAGCCGAGTTCAAGCAATTCGATGGTTTAACATGCTTAAGTACTAAAAATTGAAATACATGGTAAAAATGATGAAGCACCCTGCACTATCGATAATAGGGTGGTTAGAGATTTCTGCTGATTCTTAATTCCAAATTAAGGTGAAAATTTGATCTGTATGTGAAAACTTGCCAAACTACTTCAAACTGACGTGTTCTTAAACTTGACTCGAGCAATGGTAAGTGTCAAGCAAACAACGGTAAGATTGTGTGTTTAAATATGAACACAGTTAACTTATGCTAATCACGTCAAAAGTTGACGTGATTTGTGTCCAATCTCTCCCCTTTTTGAATCTTGACACCCTCCATGAACGAAAATTGAATTGTGCAATTACCCTTTTATTGACGACCCCTATTTTTTTTTTTGGTATTGGCGGGACATTAGGTGGCGCGCCAATAAGAATTCGACACGTGAATGCCCGCAGCTATTAGAATGAACGTAATCCGCTAGGGGCTGAAGCTGAGCAATTATGATTCATGTGGCCGAGCATGTCACTTAGAACCTAGCATTAAATGAAATGTGACAACTCATTAATGTGGATTGTGTTGGCTTGACATACCATTAATTAATGTCCAATCCACGAAGAATGTAGAGTCATCACTACGAGGCATTAATGACCACCATGTCGATGGGAGCCCTCGGGGGCTCTGAGGGCGTCAGTTCCCCCTCATAAAAACTTTAATGTAGGCTTCGAGCGCCGATATGAGGCACTCAATGACAAGGGATCAAACCATGAATACTCAGGGTTCCCAAGCATAGATCTATCTGTCCGAGCAATTGGCATTAATGAGATGTGACAAAATGACAATCATTATACTAGATTATGAACCTAAGCCATTAAATTTTAGGATGAGACTCCGAATCAGAGTCATTATTACGAATCCCAGTATAAATACTCTTTCAAAAGATAAATCAAGGTAAGCAATTTTAAATCAAGAGCATATTGTGCATTCTGACTTATATGCCGACTAACTTGAGCTTAGGAGAGGATTAGTTGGGTACAAATTTGGTCCTTTTCCTAATCCTTGGACTGTTTCAGGTTCATCACTCAAGATTATCTAAAGAGTCACTATCTCAACACATTGCAGAAATCCATCCGTGTAGATATTATTGTCAAGGGCGTTCGAATTAGCTTATGTATTTCTCTCTGATCAGGTCAAAATCAAGTTATTCATGTTGAAACTGTAGGATTCATAATAGATAAATCCCTCACAACTTGATTCCAAATTTTTTTTTCAAACTCATAAAAGCTGAGTTTTAAATTTGTCACTGGAATTCCCTTTGGGTTGAGGACCACAATTAACAAGATGTCATGACTTTGAAAAATCAACCACACAAGTATTTTAGTTCCTAAGCATGATTGATGGTGACCCACCTCTATGACATAGTTTTGGAACTTTATTCCGNCGAGCATATGAAAAGTACATCTCTTCTATTTTTTTTTTTTTTTGGTTTGCTTGTTTCATTCGTCTTACAAAACAGCCTATTAGTCTCACTAGTTTTTACATTCCTCCAATTACCTAAGTTCATTTAGAGTTGAAAAATGGTATTTTTGAATCTAATTTACACGAGTCTCAACTAATAATGAGATTTAATATCAATCCAATGATAAACAAACTAGATTCATGTAGTATTGTTGTTTAGAGTTATGGTCGCAATTAGTGGTGAATTGTGTGATTATTATCTGTTTATTTAATCTGAGGCTTCAAATTCTAGTATAGCCAGGCTCAATCCGAATTGAGTGTCATAGGTTTGAGCTCGACTCGAGCTCACGTCTAAATCATATGCTTAGATTTTGAATCAACACAGCTCATTTTTTCTTTTCACAACGGCTCGAATTTAAACTAAGACTCAAGACAAAAAAAATAATGAAACATATGTTCAGTGATACTCAAGCTCGCAATTCCTTAATTAAAAGTCGAATGCCTCATCCATTAAATAAAGAGGTACCCATTTTGAGTTTTTCATTATGAAAAAAATCTTTATATTATATCATAATAGGAATCAAGCTTGAGCCTATGAAGTTAATTGGTACATTTCTGGCTTGAGCATTAGCTAATTATAAAATATAAAAAATAAATTGATCATTCTTGACTAACTTTCTAGTAGAATGAGTTTGAATAAGCCGAGTTCAAGCAATTCGATGGTTTAGCATGCTTAAGTACTAAAAATTGAAATACATGGTAAAAATGATGAAGCACCCTGCACTATCGATAATAGGGTGGTTAGAGATTTCTGCTGATTCTTAATTCCAAATTAAGGTGAAAATTTGATCTGTATGTGAAAACTTGCCAAACTACTTCAAACTGACGTGTTCTTAAACTTGACTCGAGCAATGGTAAGTGTCAAGCAAACAACGGTAAGATTGTGTGTTTAAATATGAACACAGTTAACTTATGCTAATCACGTCAAAAGTTGACGTGATTTGTGTCCAATCTCTCCCCTTTTTGAATCTTGACACCCTCCATGAACGAAAATTGAATTGTGCAATTACCCTTTTATTGACGACCCCTATTTTTTTTTTTGGTATTGGCGGGACATTAGGTGGCGCGCCAATAAGAATTCGACACGTGAATGCCCGCAGCTATTAGAATGAACGTAATCCGCTAGGGGCTGAAGCTGAGCAATTATGATTCATGTGGCCGAGCATGTCACTTAGAACCTAGCATTAAATGAAATGTGACAACTCATTAATGTGGATTGTGTTGGCTTGACATACCATTAATTAATGTCCAATCCACGAAGAATGTAGAGTCATCACTACGAGGCATTAATGACCACCATGTCGATGGGAGCCCTCGGGGGCTCTGAGGGCGTCAGTTCCCCCTCATAAAAACTTTAATGTAGGCTTCGAGCGCCGATATGAGGCACTCAATGACAAGGGATCAAACCATGAATACTCAGGGTTCCCAAGCATAGATCTATCTGTCCGAGCAATTGGCATTAATGAGATGTGACAAAATGACAATCATTATACTAGATTGTGAACCTAAGCCATTAAATTTTAGGATGAGACTCCGAATCAGAGTCATTATTACGAATCCTAGTATAAATATTCTTTCAAAAGATAATTCAAGGTAAGCAATTTTGAATCAAGAGCATATTGTGCATTCTGACTTATATGCCGACTAACTTGAGCTTAGGAGAGGATTAGTTGGGTACAAATTTGGTCCTTTTCCTAATCCTTGGACTGTTTCAGGTTCATCACTCAAGATTATCTAAAGAGTCACTATCTCAACACATTGCAGAAATCCATCCGTGTAGATATTATTGTCAAGGGCGTTCGAATTAGCTTATGTATTTCTCTCTGATCAGGTCAAAATCAAGTTATTCATGTTGAAACTGTAGGATTCATAATAGATAAATCCCTCACAACTTGATTCCAAATTTTTTTTTTCAAACTCATAAAAGCTGAGTTTTTAATTTGTCACTGGACTTCCCTTTGGGTTGAGGACCACAATTAACAAGATGTCATGACTTTGAAAAATCAACCACACAAGTATTTTAGTTCCTAAGCATGATTGATGGTGACCCACCTCTATGACATAGTTTTGGAACTTTATTCCGCAAATCACACTAATTTAGTGCTAATGGTATTGGAAGACTTTTAAGGCTAATTAGTTTTGAGATTTAAAATGAATTCTATCTTTCATTTTTGCTTTTCTTATCATCACCCACTAATGCTTCCCCATGAGAAGAAGCAGCATGACAAGCTGAAGCAGGCTTAAACCATCCCTAAAAGGGTTCATTGGAAGTTGGTACATTAAATTAGATATAATTGTAAAAAAGTATATTGAAAAAAATGTGTTGTAAAGAAGTACATTGCTGAGATACAATGACTTAACTGTCCATTTTTTAAATTTTATTTTCCTAAAAACGATTTTATTAATGTATCTTAACATTAATTAGGTACACAGTAATACGGTTTAACCGTTGAATTTTAGGAACATTACTTTCCTAAGAACGATCTTAAGAATATATCTTAAAATTAATTAACTACACAGTGATAAGCCTTAATCGTTGGATTTTAGTAACATTAATTCGCGAAAAGCTTCATGTTCGAAAAACGGTTACCAATTCTTCTTCTTATCCAAAAACTGATTCATCTTCCTTGGTGATAAGCCCTAAATCGTTCCCTGAATGTCTACAGGGTTTCGTCTTTCAAAGAAAAATTCTATTGGTCCGCCATTGTAGATGTAAGTTTGTTTGTGTTTCCCACATAGTGTAACAAATACAGTGTAACATTGTAATACAGACAGTGTTCAGTGGTTTTGTAAATGTGGTAACAACTTCAAAACAAAGTTGGACTGTTACAATGAAATTATATGCAAATATATGTTTGACAAAATATAATAATACAGTATTTTGTATGAGTAAATTTTTACACTGTTATTGTTACACTGTAAACGCACATACAAGATGAACTTCAGTTATGGTGTTCGCATATAAAAAAAATAGTATAATCACCTTTAAAATAACAGACATAAATTTAATGAAGTCATGAATTCAAACCTTATAATTGTTTAGATTGAATGATAAGAATGAAATAATGTTTCGGACTTGCAGTGATAAATCACTTTTAGGCCGAAGAAGAAGAAAATAATAAATGATACTGTTGCAAAATTTAAAATTCAAACCAACTGATTTATCCTCAAAATAAACAGAAGAAACAAATCTT